AAGTCATCGTGTCTCAAGTCAAGTCAAGTCCCGAGTCTTTAACTTCCAAGTCCGAGTCAAGTCTCAAGTCTTTTATTTTTTGTCAAGTCAAGTCACAAGTCATCAAAACAGCGACTCGAGTCGACTCGAGTCCAAGTCACAATGACTCAAGTCCCCATCTCTGGAAATGCATAAGAAACATAAGAAATTACTGTTAGATCAGCTCGTGGTCGGAGGGTGTCTCACAAATCAATGTACAGTGTTTCACAAATCCAGGGTTAGTGTATCATACACTATATTTATGTGTAGGCTATCTGTATACAGTATGAAAAATAAATAAACATAACAGCATGTAATTGTAACTAACTTTATGTTATTTCTTTCTTTGTTTTGGGACCCTGAACACTGGCTGCACTGACCCTTGGAGCAATAGGTTCATTTGAGATGAGCCAGGCCTGCGCAGATTCGATCACCGGCAATGGGCGCACAATGCATGCCGGTTAGTTTTGTGTCCGACTTCATCCCGACTTGCTCTGACGTATTACAAAAGTGGAAGGCGATAAAAAAGCGAAAGAGAGGAGGCAGCAGTTTTTAGAGCCAGGCACTGCAGATACTAACCACAAACTGCACCGCCTGGCTCTCACCTGATCTAACAGCTGATTGGCTTAGATGTCAACTCAACAAGATGACGTTTTAGATACAGAGTCTACTGTATATTAACACTGGACTTTTTAATTATTGAAGTATTTAGCAACACAGACTTGTGGTCAGTGGGATGTAAGGATTCTTAAAATAACATCAGATGTGAAGCCCTGACTGTATCTGACTGAGCCTTAATGAAAGCTGTTGTCTTGTATTTTTTTCCTCTGAAAATATTAACCTTATAGTCAAGCACTGTTTATTTAGCCCCTGTAGTTGAGGGGACAGGTCAAACTGATATGATGCTGATTTACAGGAGAATTCATGTAAAATGGAGGGTAAACCATGAACATAAACTACAGATCACCTGAAAAGCATTTTAATAAATAAATCTATCAAAAAAAAAACAACTGGAGACTGAAAACAAACTGATATATGGGTCTGATCACTTTTTTAATGAATTGACATCATTCCAGACAGGATGTAAGCGTGTCTGTGACTTCCTGTATGGACTGAAGGCTGCTGGAAACTGTCGGGAAACTGTCCGACTTCACCACGGCTTTTTGTCACCGCTCCCCGCTGCGGCCACGTGCTCTTGTGTACTTTCCAGGTGAGGCGCAGTTCATCTCGAACGAGCCTATACCTGTATGCTGTCAAATACATATATTTGTGAAACATTGTACATTGATTTGCCCTCCGACCACGAGCCGATCTAACAGTAATTTCTTATGTTTCTTATGCATTTCTCTTCTTTTTAGCCATTTTATTATTAGCTGCTAGCTGTTAGCTTAATGCTAACTTAAAAGAAGGCTAATCCGAACCGAGCCGATCTTGTTAATGTTTGCCGCTTGTCAGGTTAATGTTTAAATACTTCATTCAGCATACAGCTGAAGAGAAAACTTTAGATTTATTATTTTTATTTCTCTCCTCAAACTCTCTAACGTTACAACCATTTCCTCAAACTTCCAACCACAACCATGGCTACAACCAATCAGGATTTGTGACTGCCATGAAGCCAACATAATGCATGATGTCATCAGTTAGCACGGGACCCCGGACAAATCTGGCAGCTCGGACGCATTCGGTACTTACACAGGCGATCATGCACCACCGTCCAAATTAATCATTAACAAATGAATAATCACATAATCATAAATAAACTTAACAAACTACCATTATTATTATTACTGCTTCTAGTATTCCACTCTACTGCAGTTCTGTATGTGGTTTGTCCAAGTGGTGCTGCCATACATCAGCAGCAGCCATTGCTCGACTGCTGTGGGTATTGTCTGTCTATTTCATAACTTTTAAATGTATTCAAAAGTGGAAAACTAGAATGTAATATGAGTGTATGAGTGTTTAATGAAGTAGTCCTTTGATTTGTCTTGGTGTGTTGTGTTAGGTAGGTGCTGAATCTAAGGTTTTTACATACAGTAACATTTTGGGTGTGCTTGGGGCTACTTATGTTAAAAAGAAAATCATGTTATGTAACAGATTATTTGATAACCGTGTTATATAACCATGTTCTGTATATATGGCCCTGTAACATCTGCAGTGGAGTCTACATCACCGGCACTTTGACATTTTGTGGTCTCACAGCCTCTGTTGAAACCTGCAACAAGGATGGTATGTCGAGCTAAAGGCTGTAATTTGCATTATACTGTGCTTTCACCAGAGGCAAAAGAGAACACGAGGAACCTGTCTGATGACTCTCTACATCTGAGAGACTCCCACCTTATACATATGAACAGACTCACCCCGATATCAACACAACTTTTAAACCTACCTTCGGCTCAGATTTTGCCAGGACATGATCATGGTATTGATGCAACTGTTGGCACATCATTCCCAGCACTCACATCATGTTCTTGTAGCTACTGGAAATGTTTTCTCTTATGTTCAAGCTCATTATTGAAGGTGCAAGAACAGAAGTCTCACCTGCAATTAAATCGTACTGTGTGCAGAAAAAGCAGTCATGACCTGTTCAAAGCATTTCTTGTCTTACAACACAAAAGAACACAAAAGTGCAGAATGTCTTTAATAGTAAAAAGATTTTTTTTAAAAAAAGGAAAATATATATAAACTTTATTGCTTTGATACAATGTGGTAGTTTGATTTGTTCAGCTTCAAGGCGTGCTCATTATAAAGGGGACCTATTATGCTCACTTTTAGGTTTGTCTTTATATGCTTTAATGTTCAAAAAGCTCTTTTTTCCCATATTGTCTGTACTGGAACACCTGTATTCACCCCCTGTCTGAAACATTCCTTTTTAGCGCCTCCTCCTGACTAAGCCCAGTCTGCTCTGGCTGGTCCACGTTTCTGAGTCTTCCATATCTCGGTGGCTCTGCACTGTCTTTCAAGCCGGGGGAACAACTGTAATTGAGAATAGCAGCACTTTTCACTGTGAAAAATCACCAATAAAAGCTTGTAAACCAAAATCTTCACAACTGAACATGTTACGGCAGAAATATAATCCAATATCAGGGAGAAATTAACAACATTAGGAACCAAGATTATACGTTTCCCTGACGTTAGCATGTAGCTACATGTAGCTACATGTAGCGGTGTATTTACAGCTGGGGGAATGGAGTACAGCAGCACTCTCCACTGTGAAAAATCACCAATTAAAGCTTCTATATCCATAAACCGGACATGCTCCAGCGGGAATGTGATCTGAAATCGGGGAAAATTAACAGCATCTGCAACGATTACATTTCCCTGGCATTCGCATGTAGTAATGTATGTGATTTAAACGCTCGCAATAGCATGCCTGGAGCAGATGACCAAAAAGAAATCTGTCACGATTTGACATCAGCTTGTAGCCAAATTTTCTAAAAAAATAAATAAATAAATAAAACGTATTGAGAAAGCTCATTTACCTCATTCTTTGAAACTTTGGCCATGTTTAATATAAACACTTGATACTGTAACATTATATATATTTCACGGAAAATAAGGAAAAGAATAATAGGTCCCCTTCAAGTTAACATGATTTTATTTTTTAGGAGAAAAAACAAATATATTATCACATCTTGTCATTGGCATGAAAACAGTAACTCATCCGCTTATAATTCGACCCAAATTTCATGTCCTTTTTTTAAAGTCCATTTGATCAACAGGGGATTTCATTCCCCAGGATGCTCTGCTTCTTGTGAGATAGGTTTGGGCTTGGCCAGGTTGGCCCTGACTCGAGCCTGGTCCACAGCGTCCAACAGGTTTTTGGAATCCAGTGCCAGGGTGTGAGCGGCCGCCAGCATCTGCCGCTGACATTCCTCCTTCAGCGATGTTACGGAGTTCTGCTGGGCCAGTCGCATCTTGTTGATCAGCTCCCCTAAATCCTTGTTTAGCAATTTCTTAGTGCCCTCAATCTGAGGCAGAGAGGAGAGAGGATCACATTAAGCAGTGTGGTTTAAGTTCAGTTTATCCAGGTTATTAAGAAATTCTTTTTGGTAAGTAACTTCAGCTGAGCAGGATACTGGATTTGAAAATTTCAGCATTTAACTTTGAACTAGCAGGTACCATCTCCAATTAAGTAACCACAGTATATCTGTTGACTGCATTTATGTCCACTGTCACAAATAAAGAAGACAGATAATAGCTCATACAAAGAGAGAGAAGTGAGGCCTACCTCTGTTGTAATGGAGCTGTGAAGAGAGGGCAGGATCTCGTCGACACTTTGGATCAGGCTACGGAGAGTGATACCAACCGTCTAAGGGTGGATGAGGGAAGGAGGAAAAGACAACAGGAGAGAGGAGGGAGGATAGAGTGAAGGAGGGCAGGAGATGGAGAAGGAAGGGATTACCATTTCTCAGTTTACTGGGGTATTTGTTTAAGACCTACAGACATGTACAAAAATTTGACCTTTACACAAGACAAATAAAAATGTAATGATCAGGTTGCAATTACATTTAGTAAATAGATGTAAACGCCCCAGAGCATAAGTTCTTTTCAGTTTTTTGGCCACTCCATGATTAGATGTTTAGGTACCAAACTTGGTACTTTTAAGGGTACCAACCAAATTACATCGGTACTACCAAGTACCAATTCACGTTAAATCTATCAGTGCCAAATTTCAGTATCAAAGAGCAGAGAAAGTAAGGAACTGAAAAGGGTATACTTGGGTACCAAAACTGAATTCCAGGTACTGTAACTGGTACCACTATGGGTTTAAATGTGAACAGTACCCAACCCTAGTCCATGACCTTTCGTCTAGCACCAGAAACTTCCTCAAACGACCTACTTTGACAGCGTTGGGATACTCGGAGGCTGGCAGTGTGTTGACATCATTCTTCAGCTGGACCACCTGTTTCACCATCGCCATGACGCCGAGGTAAACATGGTCACCTGATCGGTCCAGCTCAGCTGTGGGCCGAGGCTACAACACAAGACTTACTTTTCAATGACCAAATTTAACACACAGCTCAATTTCAGTACAAAAAATGTGCAAACCAGTTGAACTTTTCTCGTCATTGTTGCAGCTTTAATGATTATTTTCATAATGACATAACAAAACCAAAGTATATTTTACCTGTGTGATTGTGGGAGGCATTGGTGGCTTCTCTGGAGGACCTGACAAACAGAATTTTGTTGACCCACACATTTTCAGCACTTATGTTTGACATATCAGAAGACTTTGAGTGTGAGTGTGAATATTCTATCCACAATATATGTTCTAAAAAATGCATTCTTTAATCTTAAAAATCTTGTTTACAGTCTTTCTTTTTGTCTTTGAACGTACTGTTCATGCTGTAATTATTATTTTGGGACCATTTATGTTCCGTAACTCTGCTTGTAAAAGTCTGATATCAGATATCAAAGGGTCCTTTGCAGATAAAACATTGTGAGCACAAGAGAAAGAAAAGCTTGATTCACAAAGAGCTCAGCTGAAATGAGGTTTCTTAATCTGGACTCACCATTTTCTGGGCTTTTTTTGGGTGGCTGCAAGAGAAACAAGAAAAGAGAATGTGACTTTATCACTTTAATAAGTTTGAGTTTCAAACATCACCTCAGGTCAGAGCTGGTGGACCAAACTACATCTTTAACACTTGTGTTTAACTTATAGCAGTATAAGGTGTGTCTCTGCCCTCTAGTGGTCAAAAGGTGCTTAATGCAGCTTTAATATACGTCTCAAATTAGCACAAGAGCAACATCGCTGTACCTTGAGGTGTGTATCCACTCGCACAACCAGGTCCTACAGAAAATACAGAAACAGAAGCAGATGTCAGTGAATGCAGCAAAGATCAATGACTGTGTTTGCGTAATGTAGATGAAGCGATCATTTCTCTTCTTCACATGTCATGCGCTTGCCAAAGATCTTCCGCTTTCAAGACACATCACTCCCGTCATTTCATCACACTGCTGGGGCCACAAACTACTCCCTGCGCATTCTTTGCTGAGCAGTGCAAGGGTAAGATATCTGTGTGTGTGTGTGTGATCCCTCACCAGTTGTCTCTCCTCTTGCTCCAGCCACTGTTTATCCATCAGCATCTCTCTTCTTTGTCTTTGTAAAATGTCCTCCACTTGCTCTTTCTCTTTCTCCCACACTGGCCGGGTATCTCTGTTTTTTCCCTACACACACACACACACACACACCCTTTAAATGTCAGTATTTTCACTTTGGTACAGTTGTGACGATATAACTTGGCAGTTCGTATGACCTATTTGGATTTCTTTGTCTTTGTGTGATTTTTGTAGCTTTTTTACTTGATTTGTGATCAATTATTTTACATATCAAAATAGACTTTTTTTCTCTAGGGTATGAACTGAAAAAGTTTAGTCAGTTTATTTCCATGTTATTGCTTAATCATCCAGACTTTACACTGGCCTTATAAGTTGAGCTGCGGCTGGCTTTGCAGAACATGACTCAACAACAAACTTCCTTCCCTTTTTTGATGTCATTTGGGAGGTTCAGACATTGTATGTATAATATGTTGACACAGAACCACTGCGTGCCAGACTTTCACTGTATAATTTTCAATATTACAGTGTGTTTCCTCTCTGTAAGGGAAGAAAAAGTCGCAGCGGGGGTTGACACAGTTCAGTTAAACCTAAATTTGGTCAGATATGAAGCTCAGTGTGTGTCATTGTAGCATATTAGCCTAAGTGTGTGTGTGCATGTGGACACCTGTATGTTTGTGATTCGAGGAAGGGTGTTGCCTTGTACTCTGGATGGCTATAAGAAAGAGAAAAAGAGGAATTTAAGTCATTTAATAGAGGGATATCGGGTGAACACAGCCTGTACTGGTCGTATTGGAGTCTACAGCTCTTAGCTACTATTTTATCATTATTTCATTAATCAGAGATCCGCATTTACTGCCAAAACAAGTGGTTTGGTTGTCTCTCGTATCCACGTTAAAAAAATAACAGGCAATTTTAAAATTGCAACATACCAAAACATAAAAATCATACATCAAATACGAGGGCTGAAGGAACTGCTTGCTAGCTAACTAGGCCATCAAACCTCTTGCGACCAGCAGTACTGCAGTACACTCATGGCAGGTATCTAGACATACCTTGGGTGGAGGCTCTGTGGTGAGGTTTGGGTTAAATGTCAATGCGGTGGAGCGCCGTCTGTCTTGCCTTGACCCCTGCTCCAACTCCATCCTGTGGATGTCACTGTCAAACACACAAACAGACTTCAGTTAGTGTGTGTGCTGGTGTCCTCGTTTCAAATGTGTGAGCAAAAATAACATTTACAGTTAATACAATTATATCTTGATTTCATACATGTTGTTAAAGGTAAACTTCTGTATTAACTGACATGATTTCTAACCAATAAAAACATATTTTTAGTAGGTTGTTAGCCCCTCATAACCATGTAAATGCTTAACCCCATTGTTTTTCTCTGATTGGAATGAATATATACTTTCTGAACATGTTTACCCCACGCGTGACGATAACATTAGGTGATGCAATGTGCTGCATAAAACATGCTGCAACTGTATTTTCTGTGCACCTCCCTCTGCTGATTCTGACAGAGTAATTCATGAATGTAAAAAACATTTGAGCTTTGCTAGTGCTAAGGCAGAAACACTTCTTCTCCTTCCATACTATTATGTATTGTAAAATAAAATTCAAAAAATGAATATAAAAATTTAAATATGATGAAATATAACTAAATTATATATATAATTTTAAAATTATATATTTAAAAAAAAATTAAAAATAAAATATATTAAATGTAATACAGGACTTTCACTCATAACTCTTTTACTTCTTTTAAAGATCTGAATACTTCTTCCACCACTGTGTGTACCTGAGGGAGCAGACGAGCTGGCTGAAGGTGGGCCTGCCGTGCGGCTCGTAGGACCAGCAGCGGGTGAGCAGGGAGTAGACCGGGGGCGGGCATTGCTGCGGTTTAGGGAGTCGAACTCCAGACTCCAGCTGGTTGATCACCTGCCCGTTCTCCAGCCAGAAGAATGGCTGCTGGGCCATGGAGAAGATATCCCATACACACACACCTGGGTGAACACACACAACCAGCTAAAATAACAATTGTCACTCGACCCTGCCTGACTCAGTCTCAGTGAAAACCAGACACATTTCACAATTGCAGAACTAAATTTAAAGCACATCTGACATCATGAATTGCTTTATATTGCACACACATTTCTTCCTCTGGTTGAGTATAAGTTGATATTTATGTTCACACGTGCATGCAGACAAGTGTGTTTCTCACCAAACATCCAGACATCGCTAGCTGTGGTGAAGCGTCTGAAGTTGATGGACTCTGGTGCCATCCATTTGATCGGTAATCGACTGACTGAGGCTGTAAACAGAGGGGACATATGTGATAAGAAACAGACACAAATACAGATTGGACAATTGTCTGTACTTTAAAGAGGCAAGAAGAGATGAGTGTAAACACTGAAATGAGTTTTCACTACACTGTGCTTCACTAAAATGTTGGCCACAGACCTTTGTAATACTCTTGTTCGTCAACATAGCGAGACAGACCAAAGTCACCAAGCTTGACGCACTCGGGAGAAGCCACCAAGATGTTTCTCACCGCTATATCTCTGCAGCACAAGAAGAGAACAGAAACCAGACCAGATTATTATCTATCATGAAATGCACGGGCATTAAAAATAGCAGAGTGTCTGTTTTTAGGTTTTCTCTGATGAGTCTATTACCTGTGCACCATATTGAGTCCCTCCAGGTAAGCCAAGGCTTTGCAGATTTGTAAACAGTACAGGATTAAAGTTGCCGTGGTCAGGATGTACTTCTCCTCCAGGAGATAGCTCCCCAGCTGTCAGCGAAACAAACACACCCACTTCATACAATATAGTTTGCATTCACATGCATCTCACCTTTTGGTGAAACCTAAACTCAGCAGATGAGCTGCAAGTTCAGCTTTACAGTTGTACAATTTCAACAATAATGTACAAATCAGCCATTCACACACACGCAAACACACACCTCTCCATGCTCATAGAGCTCCATGACGATCCAGACAGGATCGACCTCAATGACTCCGATCAGTCGCACAATGTGGGGATGATCCAGATTTTTCATCAAGCCTGCAACAGACAGAGCAACTGGGATCAATAAAATATCTTATTATATCAATAAAAATGGTGTTTCAGAGGAAACGTGTGGGGGGCAGAGAGGGGAATGAAATGCAACAAAGGTCTTTGGCAAGAGAAACAACCATTACTGTAGATGGTATGTCTCTTATCCACGAGGACACCGGGAGCTGCCCATTGGTTCGATAGCCCATTGGTTCGACATCCCATTGTTCCGACCATATTAAACTCATTGTTCCGAAGTCCGTTTCCGAAATCATCATGATGCCCTGTGGTTAAGGTCTGGTTAGGTTTAGGCACAAAAACCACTTGATTAGGGTCAGGAAAACATCATGGTGTGGGTTAAAATGAAAAAGAAAGTGACAAACACATAAGCTGTGAGCCTGCTCAGTCTCAAGCCGGTTGCAGTGCACCATACACCCGCCGCAAGCCATTCAGCACCGCGGACAGTCGGACTAATGGGATGTCGAAACAATGGGTTGTCGAACCAATGACATGGACCCGAGGACACCGGGCAGCCCAGCCGCCAGAAGAAAATGTTGGTATTGTACATTACTGCAAACCACGGATACATTACATTTGTACGTTTCTCACTCTGACTTTGTCACATATTGACGTATTTTTTCGTCTGTGTCTGACACCGCAACTAACTGCCCAAGCACTGGATTTTGACAACTTCGGAGCGAGTCGCTGGCAACATTTTGTTGGGAATAGAAGGATTTTATGTGTTTTACTATAAGTTGTGTTTCACTATATAAGTTTTAGATGTGTGAACAATGAGAATACTGAGATGATTTCAGCTGATCTGAATGTGTTTGCTTGGCAGAAGTGGAGAAGTACAGGAGAGGAAGAGACATGAAGTCTGAGGAGCACATACCGCAATGCTTAGATAATTAGTTTCATATATGGTAAAAAGAATAGAAAGTGATATACAGATAGTAAGGTACAGCACGTGTAGGGAGTTGTGTTGTTCTCTTGTCTTTCAAAACAGGAACCACGCCCCCACCGCCAGCGGGAAGGAGTCAGATTAACACGAGGCAGGGGCGTGGTGTGGTGAAGGAGGAAGTGGAACTGCCAATGAGAAGAGGACAAAGCCTTGCGTGCACAATGACACTCTGTTACGCTCAAATATACTGGGTCAGGGAAAGGACAGGAGGTCAGACTTCGTGAACTGACACACCTTTGTTGTTCGTCAGGGACGTGAAGTTGAGACCCAGAGCTCTGTTTGTAGCATTACATACTGCTGACTGTATCCTGCCTTTCTTTTGGCTGCCACATCTGCTGCGTCATTCCCTCTGGAGACAACTGTCCCTGTTTTGTCATGACCCTTGCACTTAATCACTGCTACCTGTGCCGGCTTCATCAGAGCCTCCCGTAGTCTCCTCATGTCCTTCTCATGCTTAATGGGGGTCTTTGCTGCTGTTAAAAAGCCAGATCTGATCCACTGTGACATTTCCACATGGATCGCTCCTACGACATAGGTACACATACATAGTCTACACATAGTCTGTGTAGATGTTCACTCTTTTCCCTTCTGACCATTCTAATGCTGCAATCATTGCTTGGAGTTCAGCCAATTGAGATGATTCTTTTCCTGTCACACTTTCTGTAATCACTTTCTATTCTTTTTACCATATATGAAACTAATTATCTAAGCATTGCGGTATGTGCTCCTCAGACTTCATGTCTCTTCCTCTCCTGTACTTCTCCACTTCTGCCAAGCAAACACATTCAGATCAGCTGAAATCATCTCAGTATTCTCATTGTTCACACATCTAAAACTTATATAGTGAAACACAACTTATAGTAAAACACATAAAATCATTCTATTCCCAACAATTTCCAGCCTAACTGTGTCACCAGTACCGGGTATTTTAAGCCAAAAACTGTGATGATTCTCTTTTAGTTTTGGTTTTTGGGTGGATTTTTGTGTACTCTCCCTTCCCCCTTGCCTTGCTGTTTCTGTTCCTGCCAGGCTTGTGTGTGGCAGGGGCGTGGCTGGCTCTTTCCACTGCAGCTGACGAGGCACACCTGTTTCTACTCAGCTCATCAACCTGCCTACATATACCCGGTCTTCACTCCACTACTCTGCCAGATAAGTCCCTCTGTGTTTGGTAATGCCAAGCATACTCTTATCCAGTGTTGCTTCTTTGTGGTTTTTGGTTTTTCTAGCCGGCCAGCACCCTGCCTCTAAAGTTTCAACATATCTGGTACATAATAGTGTACAAATGTTACGTGTTCATGATTTGCAGAAATGTACAATGCCAAAATTTATCCCGGGCCAAGATCAGCTGATCCATCTTACTTTTGTGCTGGTTTTTCAAAGCAACATTGGACTGAATCACCCTGATCCAGATACAGACCTTTCAGGGTTACCAAATCTGGATAGCCAGGACCCTAAATGGGACTACACATCAAAATGAAGGCAGCCTGCCAACGAACACACTGCAATTAGCACTTGCTGCCATAGGTGCTGCCACAGAAAATGAAACCTGATCTTTGAGATCATACCTTTTCAATACATTTTGTTTGATTTTGACAGCTATTTGGGGGATTCTTTTATGAGGACCATATCCTTTTTTTGATTTTACTGTATAGAAATGCTCAATAGTTAGCTTAATATCTACTCTATTCACGTAATCACAGTAACTGTTAATAAATCAAGTGCAAAATATCATTAGATGTATATATTAGACCAATTTGAAGGTTTCTTATTATATTTTGTTCCTGGAATCCACCCTGAATCTACCCTTCTGCTGGGATCAGGATAATCCTGATTTTTTGGATCAAAGGTAACCCAACACTACTAAAGTTTTGATCGACACATACTGAAGGTTTGATCCTGAGCAAAGCCAAGACTAGGTTCCATGATCTAATCCAATTTCAGACCCCTTTTCTTTTCTTTTGAACAACCCATTTTCAGGATTTGATCCTGTCTAATAGCTGGAATACAATCAGATTACCTCTGACCAGCTGGGTCCTGATGACGTAGGTACAGCGGGACACCACAAGCTTTCAGTTTTAGTTGACAGGAAAACCTTAATCGCAGCTTTTACCACTGTGTTTGTGTGGTAGAGCTTGTGGGAGGGATAACTTATCTTCCTCTTGACAAGAAATATTTCACACCTTCTCATTTGTACTTTTATTAACCAAGAGCAATGGCATCTGGTTTCAGTTAAAATGCCTGCTGAATGCTATCTGTTCAGCACCAAACAGCAGAAAACTAGCTGTGGAGCATTTACAGTAGGAGCTAAAAGGACCAGACATTTCCCGTAAGGAGTTGGTGGAGACCAAAACAGAGCTAAAAGGAGACTGACTATTTATTTTACAGTCATCAGGTGGACATGAACAGGATTCTGAATGAATACTGATGTTGTTCTGTGACCGCTTTATATGGAAATTGGTATTTGTTTACTGGCAAATTCAACATAACAACTTCACAAGATGATAGTCTGTCAAAGTTGGGGTTAAAACTTGTTCCAATAAAAGGCAAGACTATGTAACAACACATCATGTGCCTTAATAATGTAACAATATCTTATAATTGTCACTTCAGGCTAGAGTTTCCGCTGCTCAGCAAAAGACACACATCTTACTTTAAAGCAGATTTTTGGGATTCGTGAAAATGTTTTTGTGGCACCATCAGATCAGAGTTTCCAATTTGTGCTCAAGAAATTTCAAAACATTTGTGAGTACAACTTCCCAATAAATCCTATGACCTTTCTTACAGCAACCACAAGAAAGTTTAATTTTGTGTTGATTTTGACGTCATACTGTGGACAAAAGCAGTAGTGTTTTCATGAGCAACTGCATCATGTTGCAAAGATCTTTTTCTGGCTAAAGCATGTATTTGTTTTAGGAGCAGGTGAAAGAAAGACACATATTACTGTGAGCATCCTATGGAGTACTATTTATGTCCACAACATTGTCAGCAAATGTAGCTTGTTATTTTTTCTAAACCTGCACTTTGTCTGGAAAAAAAAAATCAGATAAAGTCTCTAGTCTCAGCTGGAGGTTACCACAGCCCCCAGTCTGAGTGTTTCACAAAACCACAACCAGGCAACAGGAAGTCGACTACAGCAATGTTCTGACTGATGAAACACGTAAAACCCTCAAATGTTCCAAGCTCATGTACGTCTACTCCTGTCATCACATTATACCTTTAATTTGCTTACCACTGCCATGTGTTCACTGTGATTAAAACCATAATCAGTCATATTTTTATGTGAGAAAAAAGTAACAACCAAAAGTGATTTATATTTTTATGTAGTTAAGGAAGAGTTTTACACTTCTTGTTATGAACATCTGCCAGATTTTCCAGTTGCATCACAAATCTCCGCACAAACCCTGGGGGCTGATAATCACTGCAACATACTGTACTCACCAGCTTCACTGAGAAACTTCTCCTTCACCTCAGCCGAACAGTCCTTACAGGTTTTGATGGCCACATTGATCCTCTCTCCAGTCTACAAACACACACATTAGTGCCATGCTTTCATCACACGATTCAAATATTTTATCTGATCCTTTAGAGTAATGTTTGGACCATAGATGAACTCACGGGGCTTTTATAAACTCCATCGTGAACCTCTCCAAAGAATCCCTCACCCAGGATTCGACCCACGACAACGTCATCTCTGGAGATCCTGTACTTCTCTAAACACACAAACATTAAAGGTACAGTTCACCCCCAAAAGTATATATTTTTCCTCTTACCTGTAGATCTATTTATCAATCTAGATTGTTCCGGTGTGAGTTGCAGAGTGTTGGAGATATCGGCCATAGAGATGTCTGCCTCCTCTTAAATAAAATGTAGCTAGATGGCACTCAGCTTGTGATGCTTAAAGTGCCAATAAAATACATTTGAAAAACTCAACAGCAATGTCTCTTTCCCAAAATCATGACCCGGTTACTCAAGATAATACACAGACCTTGCTGTGCGCAGTTTCATGTAGGAACTATTTTCTTTCTACTGAAGTACATTCAACTAGAACACCACGCAGAAAGAAGGGTGCATCTACTGCTAGCTTGCCAAGCACCACTGAGCTAGCTAACGTTCCAGCTCAGCCAAGGAGGATGCCAATAATACTCATATCTCAGACTGTCACGAATGCAAGTACTCGTCCGTGAGTAGATGCACACTTCCTTCTGCCCGGTGACACGATTGGTAGGTGGAGTTCAGTTCAGAGAAAAAAGGTCCGACATGAAACGTGCTTTAAACACCACAAGCCGAATGCCATTTAGTTCCATTATATTGGAGAGAAGGCAGACATCTCTGTGGCTGACATCTTCAAGACTCGGCAACTCACACCAAAATAATCTACACTGATAACTCGCACTTAAGGTAAGTAAATGACATAGACACTGACATTTCTTCACTGATTGCCTTGTTTAAGGGCTTCATAGCAACATCTTGCTAGTTGATGTGAAGGTTAATTGTGAGTGTAACATGACTCACCACCAGTGTCTGCTGTGCCCTCTGGAATCTCAGCATAAATGTCCGAACCTTCAGAGTGAAACACGTTGAAATTAAAGCTGTTTACTTTGCATTTGTAATTCAGTATACAGTCACAGGAGATCAGAAGAAACCTCCGAAAAAAATTAGAAATGATTGTTGCATGATGTAAATTACAGAAGTCCAAATCAGTCATTAGATTCGCTCAAACCTTTGCTGGGACCACTGGAAACAACACTGAAAGAGAAAGGGAGACATTTTGTTTTAAGTGTCTTCTTTGAAGCAAGCAGTCAGTAACAACTACTACTATCAGCCTGTGCTTAAATATCTGTGACATTTCTGTCCAGCACACAGACAAGAAAATGAAAATTTGACTGCAACATAAAGGAGGAGGAAGGTGAGAAAATGAAACCCCACACAGTGTATGCCTCCGCCACATGACTTTCCAATATGATTCATTACACACTCACGGTTTTGGGATGTCAGGTAGTTTCTGTCTTGCGTCTCTCCCTGAAAGAATCAGATCAGGTTTAGGGGTTTGTCCAACATGATTTATCTCTGAGGTTTAGAAAATTAAAGGAACATTTAAGGGTTTTTATAACTGGTCGTACTTCGGTACCTTTGGACATTGGACATTAGTTTATCGTTATATGGAAACCCTTTATTTTAACTGAGAAAAAAAGCAAATGCACCTGAAATTATGTGAATTTAGTGAGTAATGTCATCATGATTCATAGACACTTAAAGCCAAAAATACAAAAGTATCCCAGGTTGTGCAATAATAGAAATGGTGCAGGTTGGTGTGTCACAACATTTTCGCTCAAGTGTACCTTTGCTGGGCCGGGTAATGAGCGACCTCTCAGAGCTGCCTTCCAGCCGACAGTAGCCGTCAATCAGGTCGGCCATGTTTTCCGCCATAGCCAGAGAGGAAGTGTTCACTGACAGAGGCTGGAGGGTTGAAGATACAAGATAGTCAGTCTGTCTCCAACTTGCTTTGCACTTAAACCACAACTGACTCTTAGAGGTGCTATTCAGAGGCCAGGCCACATTTAGCATGTGTGAAAAAGGTTGGAAACAACTCGTCTGACCGGTCAAAATATCCCCCACAAGTCTCCAGGAAGTCACAGCACTTACAAGAAACAGTTCCAACATTTATCTCCTCTTAAAACCAAAACTTGTCACTTTAGTTTTTGTACAGATTAAACAAATGGATTCCTAATGAGGTGCAAACTATTCCTTTATAAAGATTACCTGTTTGGCTCCCTCTATGTTTACAGTGAGCAGAGCCCGACCGTCACTCTCAGCAGAGCAGGAGATACTGCGCACCTGAGAGAATGTGGCCAAACAGACGGGCTGCAAAAGAGACAAAGATGTTTGTTCCAATATATATAGATACACACTGTGATAGATCTGCCTCTGCAAATAAGGCTCATTGTTATATTCTTGTTTTCCCATGTTGCAAGTGCTGTAACCAGCATGCTAAAATCTGTAGTGTCTTGTAACTGTATGCGTCCTCTTATCATTTAGCACATCTTTCATCCAGACAAAGTGTGAGCTCACCGTAGAGTTTTCTATTTGCTGACTGATGCCGTCAGGGCCAATGACCAGGTCTATTGTTAGACTCCAACCGTGCTGTAAAACAGGACATACACGCACAAACACTTAAAGAAAACACAACATTCAGCTTGAAATATGACAGAAAATAACGTGTAAACTGTCTCACCACTAGCTGGCAGGCGAAGCTCTCCTGTGTGTAGCTGTGGCATTGAGCCAGAGTGGTGAAGAACCGGGCCATGCACTGGTCCTGCTTCAGAGTGGAGTAGCCCTGGAACGTCTGCTGGATGAGCCGACGTAACTGTTTGGGCTGACAAACACAGACACACAGCATTTATCAAATTAAAATGTTTGGTTTTACTGTATTTTGTAACTTTAACATAATACCAGCAGGTTTAAGCAGATAAAAGTGACATTAAACCAAGACTAATGACTATATAGGAGTTGTTTCAGCGCTCTACCTTCATGCTGTCAATCAGCTCTCTGGGAAAGAACAGGTCCAGCCCTACGTCTTTCCTAATGGAGGAAAGGCAGGCCACCATCAAAAAACAAACGCACCTCTTTAATAGCACACATATGGAAGCTGAGAATGGCTGTGCTTGCAATATTTCAAGAAATCGTACTTGTGTTTTCTTGAGAATCTACATAAAGAAAGCCGTTATCATGAGAAAACAAGCTCTGTTATCTCGAAACGAACAGAATCGAAACTACTACTCAAAGACACACAAACCAGGAGCCTTCCTGCTGCCAGGAAATGTAACCACACCTCAAATATATCTGCCACCAAGGCACAAAAGTCCTGATTTAAAAGACAAATTGCTCATATACAACAGTCACACATGACTTACTCTAATAGTTCAAAGTTGGACTTTTTCTCCAGTCCGTTTGGATTCATGTCTTTGTAGAATCTCCTGCAAACATGATACATGAATACAATGACACAATCAGCATTTGATTTTTCATTAAGGATATTAAACTATCTCTAATCTTCTCTCTTAGATCTGGAACACACGCACCTAATTTCCAGACAACCAAGCTGTAGAGCCATCCCATCGCTGACTTTTGAGGCATACTGCTGCATGTAGTCACTTCGTACCTGGGGATAAGCACACACACACCTCCATGGACAACAGCCATGTAAAAAATTGAACCTAATCTAGAAATAAAAAGTTAAATGACCTCACTACTATAATCTCAAAATGAGTTGCAGTGGTATTACTGACCTGCTGGTAAAAGTACAGCATCGTGGTTCTGTCATCTTTAAATTTCTCCAAGAAGTCTGATGGGATGTATCTGATCCTCAGGTCGTATCTGGACAAATAAACATCACAGTAAGCTTTGCCAAGTCATTTCTCTACACACATGTAGATTTTTACCTCACTTTCTTGAAGTAAGACAATGCATGCGACGAAGACTGAAGTACTGACCTCCACTCAGCTTCTAGGTGCTGCTGCTCGTAGCGCTGGGTGAGTTCAGACACAGTCAGGTCTGGGTGCAGCCAGTGTATCACCGAGGACTTGAGGTGTTTGAGTAGAAGGCCGTAGCATAAGGTGTATTTTATGTCTGGACCCACACAGCCACTGGACAGCACCACTTTAACAACATCCTGGGATAGAAGTCATTACAGTAATGTCTCTGAGATGTTTCAGAATGTGAATGTGAACAAACATTTTATTTATAGTCAATATGAAAAAACTCACAATGAGCCTTGTCTACTTGATAAACCATTTTCTTAACAATGACTGTGCTAGTCTTATCTTCTTTAACCTGCAGATTTCACTTCCTTGTTTTCTTGTCTTGGAGTTTGGTGCAAGCAAGTCAGCAGAATACTGCTTCGTAATGTAAAGATGAAACAAAAGTGTGTTAAAGCGTACAGCTAGATACAGACAAGTACAAGGAAATACAGAAAATGCAGTTGAAGAAAGACAAGTAGTGCGCAGACAGATTATAGAGTACAGTATAGAAGAGCGCAGTAAAGTACATTACAACACATTAGAGTACAACAAAGAGCAGCTGAGTAAGTGTGTTCCCTCTTGGCCATCTTATACGCAGACATAATATCAGTTTCCATTTCTACGCAGATGATACTCATGTCTATTTAAGCTGTGATCCAACAAATAACTATCTGATAAATTGCCTTCGTGACATTCACAAGTGGATGTCACGAAATTTCCTGCAGCCTAATGCTGACAAGACAAAGATATGGATCGTAGGACAAGATAGTGCTAACGTTCAAATATCAAACAGTCTTGGTTCTCTGTCCAACTTGATAACTCAAACCTTCAGTTTAAACAAACATGTGAATTCAGTAGTTCAATCCAGCTTCGACCATCTCAGAAATATTTCCGGGATCAGATCACTCCTTTCCAACAAACATCTGGAATTCATGCATTCATAACCAGTCAGCTCACCCAAAACTGTACTCGAAAAACATGACCACATCACACCAATCCTGGCTTCCCTACACTGGTTACCTGTTGCTTTTAGAATTGATTTTAAGATTTTACTGATTACTTAAAAAGCCCTTAGAGGCCTTGCTCAAAGTTACATTACAAATCTTTTATTGCCCTATTCTCCTTCTCGCACCCTGAGATGCTCAGATGCATCTTTTCTTGTTGTTCCGAGGTCTAGATTAATTCACAAACGTGACAGAGCCTTTGCAGTAAGAGCTCCATATTATTATCATTAGAGTATAGTATAATGGATTCAAGCAAAGTAAAGACATCAAAGTGCAGTAAAGTAGCCTACAACAGCCTGTAGCATAGTGCAGTTAAGGAGAGGACAATATGGTATCGTACAGTAGGGTACAGTGGTCCACAAGGAGAGGAAGGAGACATACTTTGTTAGACCGCATGCGGAAATTCTATTTTTTTACTCTGTCATATACACACAGGCCCAAAATACACACACATGTACAAACAGGACAAACAGGAAAGTAAAAAGTACAGCCAAGTACAGCATCATAAAGTAGACAACAGAATAGCACGTGAAGTACAGCAGAGTACAGTGTAATATACCTTGACAGTCCATCCCTCCTCACAACGGACCAGTTTGAAGTTCTTGCCCAGGTTGGAGCTGTTGCTAAGGAAACACACTTTGATGATCTTCACCGGGAAGATGCCGTCCCTGGTGACAGTTGCCGAGGGAGACAGATCCGAGGAATCTGACTGGCTGGTGGGAGACACGCTCCTCCAGGACAGGGTGCTGGTGTCACCCGACATCACACACACACACTCAACACATACACACCCAGACACACACAGCGTGTATGCTACTGCTTATAGACATACATTGCTGGCTCAACAATATGTCACTTTCTTCCGTCACTCTCATACGGTCTCATTAAACACACACATGAGGAGATGCATTGAAGCTGGAGACAGACGGGAGATGGACACAACAATCATTATATGATCGTGCAGTTGGATCTGAAGAACATTCATGCCTCAGTAAATGGTTCAGCTTCTGCTGTGATCTCTCTGTACTCACCAGTCTTGCACAAGTTCCACGGCTCAGCACCAGAAATTTATATTATCAGTCCCAAGAAGTGAATTCAAGCCAGTGCCAGCAACTAACTGTATTCATGTTACTTTTCAAAGTGTAGATTTGGTCTTTTTTTGTCAGATTAGCAAAGCAGACTTCTCCGAAGCTGTGCCTGATGAAGAATCGCGGTAAGCGAAAGAGGAAACGGTGCTCACGGGCAAATAAGGAAGTTGAAGAGCAGCAAACAGAAAAACTGACAGGACTGATGAAACAGCCATGTCACCCCATGTCTCACATGCAATGGCACAGTCCAGCACCAAACCACAACCCACCCCTAACTGTGCAAAAGAGGCACAGCCTACAGCGCATTCACTTACTGAGCTAAAAGTTTTGATGAGCTAAAGCACAGTACAGGTGAATACTGGGGATTTGGGCCTGAAGGAACATATTTTGTACAATATCCTTACCAACTATTTCAAGTAAAACAAGCACAATGTGTTGATCATTTAGAAGTTTGTAACCATGCTATGCCATGTACATGTGGTTCAGACCTTCATGGTCCTCAGAGGGTGACTCCAACTCATTTTGCCAATCCTCTTACTTTTTCTCTAGTGCCACCCCGAGGCTGACATTTTGGGTTTTGAGTAAAAAGTTTCCATGACTACTGGATTGATTTTTTTGAAGTAGGGTTTTATGAGGTAGATGATGGTCAATGCACCCTGGATTTGGAGAGGCAGACAAGAATACCACCACTGAAGCTAAGCAAAGTACAGCTGTGGATGGGGGCAGCAGCAAAAAACATATTTTTTGCCACCTAAAAATATCAGTATCAGTTTAAGAGTGTGCTATATTTAGAATATTTCCACTGCTTTACCTCAGCATCAGACACCCCTTTTTGACAGGGAACTAAACTGAAAGTGAAACTTATCTATGCTCTCTTCAAAGCCACCAGACTCCACTGACAAAAACGGTAATTTAACCTCGCTGAACACAGGAGCTGCTGGTCTACTGCTGCCTCCTTTTTGGTGTTACTGTGTGATTTTGACACCAAAGTCACCCAATAACACAAACAAACTACCAATCCAGGCAGTGGTAGACCAGCAGCTCCTGTGTTCAATGAGGCAAAATTACTCATTTTTGTCAATGGAGTCTGGTGGCTTTGAAGAGAGCAATATAACAACTTTGTCAGTGGGCTGTCTGATGACTAAGTAACGTGGTGAAAATATTCTAAATATAGCATACACTTGAACTGATACTGATTATTTCAGGTGGGACTTTTTTAGGTGGCTAAAATGGGTTTTGCTACTGCCCCCATTCACAGTAATACATTGCTGAGCTTCCATGGCAGTACTCCTGTCTGCTTCTCCAGAGTTGGGGCAAGCTGCTGATGATACTGTAGGTACCTCATACAACCCCACTTCAAAAATAAAAATAAAAAACATTTAACTACTGTTACTGTACAGCACTGTTATGCCTACACACAGGTAGGTGGTAGGTTTAACCTAAACAGCCATGGTAAATATTATTTTATAGTCATTTGGGGGTCTAATCAAATGCTTGTTATTTTGAACATTATTCTATTATTAGATAAAAGATGAAAAGCATCTATGTAAAGCTGCAGCCTGACTGAAGCCGTTCACATGCAGTGAGGCGTACAGTGTGGTGACCATGAGGCTGTTGGTGGAAAATTCTTTCTATTCTTTCAGATTCAACCTCAGTGGTTTTTTCTGCCTTGGCTGACGCTGAGGCAGAGACAGGCACCTCTCTTTGAACATGTGGGTGAGATTTGGGTCACAGATGCAGAAAGAATATGACCGTGTGTCACAACAGAAACAAATGTCAGGAAAAGTGCAGCCTTTGTTATTTTCAGAAAGCAGTTTGTTTCTTCTTTTGAATCAGTTTGATACTACTTACTGTCTTACTTTCATGGTGATACTATTTGTAGGATAATGCAGACACATAGATGGGAACTCACCCGTCTGTATGTTTAATCAGTGCAAATGTATTCTTGTATCAGACAGTTATAGAGAGGAGAGACGGATATCATGAACTATGTCTTCATTCCTGTTACTGACAGTCTTTACACTTTCAAGTGACGCTGTTCCACGTATCAGTACTTAGTGTGACATCCTGTTATGCGAAGTGCATTATATTTTTCACACTCACAACCCAACCTATTTTGCCTTGAACACAGCCCGAGCTGAAACTGTACTTATAAAGCATTAATTTGACAGGGTGAAGACAAAGGGGGTGCAGAAAACCCAAAGAGCATGATGCATGATGAGAATTACTAACAAAATTTTTGAGTTAGAACTATTAAATTAGTTGCTGCATTAGTTACAGTTCCTGAACTCAATTAAAAGCAGTGTTCTGCTACTTTATAATCTTGTTTTGGGGTTACATTTGCCTAATTTCAAGGGCAAATTTTCTTCTCTTTATCTTTGTTTCTTGTCAGAGAAAATAACGAGGGCTTGGAGCCAGAGGGGCGTAAGTGGCATTTTGGGCAAATATGGGTTCAATATATCAAAATAAAGGTCTCGATGAGCTCTATCCAATGGTGCCAAAAAGACCTATCTGAGATCAAACTGTATTGAATAAAGCAACAAAACAATAAAGACCTAACACAAAAGTGTGAATAATGTTTGGAGCCAGAAGGGCGTAAGTCCACTTACACCCTTCTGGCTCTGAAAAATACATGTAGGACCCACATGTTTCAGAGCCAGAAGGGCGTAAGTGTAGTTGGTGCCCTTAAACAGCATTCAAAATGGCTGACACGGACATGGAACTGTCTGAGGCAGAAAAGATTTTTGATTAATATTATGAAAGAAACCGATGAATCCTATATTGAAGAAGTTGAAGGTGAGTCAGAGTGGCTTTTGAATGTATTTCCTCACAAGAGTGATGACAGTAAGACATTATCATGCCTTGAGAGCCTTACCTTGTTAGCCTAGCCTAAAATGGCTAAAGTTAATCCCATTGTTTTGGTCTGATCTGGTAAACTGTGCCTGCAAGCTAGCCTAGTGTTCAGACAGAATATTCTTTTGAACTTTCTCATAATCTACTTTACCCTAGCTTCGAACTAATAGATTCAGGGCACTCATGTAGGATGTTATATTAATAAATATTAATGTGTTAATCATTAAGGGACACAGCCACATGAGGTGAGGAAGAGAAATCAACTTGAGGGACACATGGAGACAGCACAAGATGGAGGAAGTGAGTTCTGACTTGCATAGAAAATAAGTTTGAACATTCACCTTATCTAATTCTTACCCTGAATTATTAGTAGCAGGGCATTCATGTAGGATATTAATAAATATTAATGATATCATTTAGGGACACAGCATGAGATGAGGGAGAGAGATGAGGAGATGGAAGAGAGAGAGGGACACATGGAGACAGAAGAGGATCGAGGGACTGAGACAGTAGACATTGTGCTAGAATTTGTTCAGGAGGGAGGAGCTAACAGTGGCCAGGAAGAGGAGACAGAAGATCGAGGGAGTGAGACAGTAGACATTGAGCCTGTTCAGGAGGGAGGGGTTGAAAGTGGCCAGGAAGAGGATGCCAACACACCACAGAGAGGAAAAAAAGACAGAGAGATGATGAAAATTGGAAAAGAAACCAACGTAAAAGGTTAAGAAATTCTGGCCAAAGCTACATTAATTCACATGGCATTCATGTTGTCTATTGTATACAGTACTTGAAAAAAAAATGAATGAATGTAATGAAATAAATTGAATAACTCATGAATTGCCAATCAGAATTGTGTTTAGCAAGTTCAGTGACTTTTATACAGTCTCTACTGTTCAGCAGATGCCCAGAATGGAAAAGTGAAATGAGAAAAAAATAAAAAAATAAATAATGAATGAGTTAAATGAAAATGAATTACTTATTCAAGTGTTATTCAAGTGTTAATTATTCAATCAATTCCCCTTTTGACCAATTATTTTCTGCATTGTTCAGCAGATACGCCCAATATGTCCATAGAAGACTTGGAAATGTTTGGTGCCAAAAAGGCGTATCTGACATTTTTGCCATATTTTTTTGATTTTAAAATGTTTTAGAACATGTTCATTGTGTTAATATGCCATAAGTTTATTACTTAAATACTCATTCATGTAAGTATGTCTGTGGTTGCAATGTTGTGGTTTAAGGTTAATAGATACAGATGATTGAAGTGTGGTCAAAATTTTGTTTTGTCTCTCCTGTAAAGTTTGTCAAAAGCCACTTACACCCCTCTGGCTCCAAGCCCTCGATAAAGTAAAATAAAAAATAAAGTGTTGCATGGAGCTGATAGACCTCTCTTAAATATCACTACATAATTCAATAATCCATCGCATTTATAGGGAGTTTGTGTCCAAAAGTAATGCATTTTCATACATCATTGCACTTTTTATTCACTATATTATCTTATGACTACATGTTTTTTTGCAGGGAGTAATCATTTAAGAGTGTCCAGTGTCTTTGCTTGAGTAAAATGTTGCAGGATATGTCACTGACATAAGGTTATTAATTCATTGACAACCTAATGTAAAGTGAAACCTAAACTGTCCGACAGACGGCGCCACAGTCCATTTTGACACGCTTGATAAAAGGCTTTGAGTCAATGAATTAATAATGTCACCCCCCTGCAGTCATTGGAAGAAATCGACTTAACACGCAAGTTACGGTTCGTTGAATAAATCAGTGCATTAACACAAGTTAGACCCACGGCTAACATTTTCTCAACAATAATGAGGCACTCTTCATTATTCTGTTATCGAGTAGACGCTTGATTTAATTAAGAATATTTTAATTAATTGGCTTCTTCCATCAAATTGCAGCAGTTGTACAATTTAAGACTTAATTGTAAACAATACTGAGACTAAATGTGACTACAGTATTTTGAGTGTTACATCACCATGTGGATACATCGGCCACATATTTTCATTTTTGAGTTCATCTGTCCAACATATCTCTGGAAAAACAGAGTAGCCTGCCGGAAAGGGAAACACTGGTACATTTAATTTACAGCCATATGGGAATTTAATCATCTATTTTAATCTCTGACTTTATCAGATGAGGCCCGTCGGCCGTCTTCTCAGTGTGGTTTAATTAAGCTGTTAGTCATCAATGGGACGGTCCTGTGCTGCGCTGCGTCAAACTCATCAGTGACAGCAATGGATGAAGCGGAAGTTAGATGGGTTTGTCTTCAAAGTAAAAGTGCAAAAATGACTGACATCAAAAATTAAAGTGCTGCAGTTCTGAAATGATACGTATCACACACATTTTCCTTATTATTTCCCATTAAAATTCAGTTGGTTTTCCCTCTGTCATTTTAAAAAAGTAAACTCAAAACAAAAGTAAAAAGTAAAAGTAAACTTAAAAACAGAACAGATTTACATCACTTAAAACTCAGTGACCGACAAAATACATATATAAAGGAATACAGTATGACGCCATGAATGATATATAATTTATTTTGCAATAATTTTGTAGATGGTATGATAATAATACATATTAAATTTCCTTATTTAAGCCTTCTTCTGTAACTAAATAGTGTTCAATTCAATTCAGTTTAATTCAAAGAACTTTATTTTTCCGTTAGGAACTTCGTCTGTGAATAGTGCATATTAAACAAAATAAATACAAATAGATAAATACAAATGTTAAAAAGTAATAGTAGATATTTACTGTACCCTCCTGGACATGCATAACTTGACAGTAACTACCCAGCTTACATTTGTATGTGGGGCCCATGTGGGTAGTAAATGGGCTGAAAATTGGGCCCTATATTTGACTGTCCATGTGTTCCATATTGGCCCCATGCCAATTGCCCACATGGGTGGGTTTACCCAAGTGGGCTACGGATAAGATGCCCATTTCAGACCCATACCCACTTTGTATTCAGGTAGCCCCATCATGACCCATGTTGGGCCCACTTGGGTAAACCGATGTTGATAAATGTCATGGGGCCAATATGGAACCAGTGGACAGTTCCATATAGGGCTCATTTTGCGGTCCATTTATTCCCCACATTGGCCCCACATACAAATGTTGGCTGCGTAATGGTTTGACGATATAGTTTTCAGTCTTTTCACTGAAATTAATTTGAATTATATTTCTCTAATTTCAGTTTCAATTTGGTGTGTCGCTGCATGTTAAGACATTTGTGTTGCCAAAACATGTCAAATAAAAAAATGTGGATAATGAAAAGGAGCAATCGTGGTGCTACAACTGGTTAAAAACAAACTGAGCTCAGATACATGCTTTTAATTGGAAAAGTGTGAGAGGAAGCGGTGTGTTACAGCGCCTCTCTTGACTCAGTGCTGCTGCTACAGTTGTGCACACAAGCAAAGGTGATGCCAACATCCGCTGAGACAGAGAGCAGTGTGGGACAATAGGAAGCTGTTAAAGGAAGGAACCACCTTTCTCACTTCCACATCTATTTCTTTTTCTATTTTGAAACAACAGCCTGTGTGATCCAACCAGTGCGCGCTGACTGTTATGTTCCAACAAGGCGGGGCTGACCCCTCCTGTCTCATTTGGACCGTCCACAAGTAGGATAGCCTGGACACTGAGGAGTGCTGCTGTTGCTGCTGCTGCTGCTGTTGTTGTTTTATGACATTAGAGACTCAGGCATGAATTCGGCCGAACAGACTGTAACGTGGCTCATCACACTGGGGGTCCTGGAGTCTCCCAAGAAGAGCATCTCGGATCCAGAGGCTTTCCTCCAAACGTCTCTGCAGGATGGAGCGGTGTTGTGCAAGCTGCTGGAGCGACTTAAACCCGGGACGGTGGACAAAGTAAGTGGATGGAGGGGTAGAAGACTGAGGGAGAAGGAAAGAACCCATACTTAACTAACTATTGGACATATTGGGTATTTAAAAACATGGGGAAATACGTAAAAGCAGAAACACTGAGAAATCCCCTTTATCTACATGATGATTAATTAATAGTTAACATTCTTAGGCATAAGGGCACCTGAAAAAAACAATGTTTATCAGTAAAATGTTATAAGAATTTTAGAGTATCAGTGCCTTAAAAAGAAGCAATAAAATATCCTAATTACAACACATTATTCATAAGAAAAAATATTCAGAGATCTGAGGCTTTGAAGTGTTTTTTTCTGTTTAAAAAAATCTAAACTGAAAGGAAATGAACATTTTAGGCACTTGTAGGTAGCCTATTGAAATTATTGTATTACCTATAAACCCACCATTTACTATATCACCTACCTGTTAACGCTACAAGCTCAATAAACAGTCTATAGATAATCATAATATTGTTTATTTTTACTGTAGTCACATTGTTATCCTTACCTTTATGTGCTTTTCTTTTAATGTCATTTGTTTTTATTCTTATTTTTCACTACTATTCAGGTTATCTTTTTTTTTTTACATAGGCTATTTATAATTATTATTTCTATTTATTTTAGGGGAAAATATAAAAAGGGACAAAGACATGCATGTTCCTGCAAAAATTAAGTTATGCAAATACATTTCTGTTGTATTTATAATAGGCTACCGATAGAAATACTGCAATACAACTTGTATTATTAAATGTATGGGCTAATTCTACCACTAATTGGGCCACTGGCTGTCAGGGCTCATAGGTCCACTGGTCATAACAAGCAGTGATATTGCTATAGCCTCCTACTTTACTGCATATGCTTCCTGTTGCTTGTTACTGCTGGGGCTGTAATAGGCTTTATCACATGCCAGTATTTTGAATCTCTCTCTCTCTCTCACACATACATGTACACACACACACACACACACACACACACACACACACACACACACCCACATACATATACACACAATGGACCATGAACCTGTCAACGTCATATCCTCCTGGCTTATCCAACTTCCCTGAGAGATTGTAGATCTCTATCAATGTAGCTTCAGTTAGCTGCAGAGTGAGGCAGTGCTTATTTCAAAATAAAAGCATATCACGCTATAGGTATATAAAATATTAAAATGATACCTCAGAATTCACTGAAAAATGACAGATATCCTTGACTACAATAAAAAAGTGTATAAATTGTACAATGGTAATGTATTTTTTTTAGTGAAAGTATAATTTTAAACACAAAATGTTTGAAACGTCTCACAATTATTGCTTTACTTTGAAAGTTGAAACCGGAAGTTATCTTATTACGCTAGCTAGCTTGATACTGGTGAGCAGCAAGTTGCAAATGCACTAGCAACGCCTGTAATAAGAATGTTTTTCATGCGGAAAAATCCTCAACACTTTTTTTAAGAGTTTATTAATATTTTATCTTATTATTTAAAGCTAATTCAGGCACTTTTTGTGTGTAGTTTTTCCAGGAGCCGAGGGGCGAAAGCGAGTGTCAGAGGAACATCACCGAGTTTATTAAAGGCTGCGGGGCTTTCGGTGTGGAGGTGAGTTAATATATCAATAATGCATTACTTACACAGCATGAAGCCTAGAAGACAGATAACCCCATACCAGCAACTTACAGACCTATTTATCCTGTACACCACCTTGTAAAAAATATCTGTCGTTCTGTTTATGAGTGACGTCTTTATGTTTGGCCGTTACTCCTGTTAACGGCACGAGACAGCAACAGGTAGTACACTCACGAGCGACCTGTATGGAGGCAGTTATGAGTGAATATGACTTTGTTGGGATTTTTCGTCACGATATTCGTTTAAAATTTGCAATTAAAATACAAAAATGTGTTTGTGTTAAACACTTTGTATTGTATTGTCTACGTGACGAACACAAAGGTGAGCTCCACTGAGTGATTCACAAGATAAACACAGACCATAATGTGTGTTACTCATATCCTCAGGAGCAAAGTGGGAGTGTTTTTAGTACTGCTTTCTGATATGTGTTTTAGGTCTTATAAATGTTTTGAATGCTCTTCTTCTCTGATAGGAAGCAATTAGTGGTTTTGCAGAATTGTTTGTTATAGAAACTGTCAAATATAAAGTGGGAATCAGTAAATCAAAACAGGTAGTAGGGTGCGTGCATGTGTCTGAGTGCTTGCACAACAGTGGGATTAAGCCAGGCAAAGCAGCCTACTATTTCAGGATGTGTTGTTGTTGTTGTTGTTGTTGTTGTTGTTGTTTTTACAAAATTTGTTTCACAATTAATCAGGGCCTGATATATTGGAAAGGTTTCTTTGTTCTCATTGAGGTGTGACCACTTGCCAGCTCTGTGTCAGTCAGGGTTGCAATGATATTGCTGAGACAGTTTGATAACCGTCTCAGCAAATATCGCAGTTTCACAGTATCGTGGTATACAGAAATACAGAGTTATCATTATTAAATGAATGAAAACAGAAGGATTATAAATGTGTAAAAAAAAATCTGACCGGCAGTTAAGGAGGAAAGGAGTTGTGCATGTGCAGGTGAGATTCTCTGTCACTGGTTGTATTTCTTAATATTGTAGATAAGAAAATGTACACAAAGTGATATTCATGTATTTTTGACCGCTGATGCAGACTAACTGATTTGTTATGCTACTGTCACTGGCAAGTATGGGGGTTGAACCCATGACCCTGGTGTTATTAGCACCACGCTATAACCATCTGAGCTAACCAGCCTTCTTTTTGTTATGTGCTTTATGACATTAGTTTCAGAAATTAATCAGTATGGTAACTGTGTCAGTAAATATCATGAATGTGTTTGGGGAGAGTGTTCCAGAGGGAGGGGGTGCCTATGGAGAGGGCTTTGTCACCCCAGGTCTGAGGCTTGGTCCTGAGTGGTGGAGTCAGGAGGTTGGCATCGAAGGAGCAGAGACTATGGGAAGGAGTGTGGCAGTGGAGGAGGTTGGTAAGGGAGCTAGGAGGGGGCATGGTTATGGAGGACTTTATAAATAAAGAGAAGAACTTTGAATTGGATGCATTTTGGGACAGGGAGTCAGTGGAGGTTCGGGAGGATAGGGGTGATGTGATTGCAGAAGCGGGGATGGATGAGCAGACAGGCAGTGGAGTTCTGGAGGTAGTGGAGTTTATTTAGGACTTTGGATGATGTACTATAAAGAATGCTGTTACAGTGGTAGATCAGATGTCCACAGTATGACATTCTATTTTCTGCTGCAGATGCATAAAAATAATTTTGTTTTTGTTGGGCTGCTATCACTGGCCAGTATGGGGATTGAACCCATGACCTTGGCGTTATTAGCACCATGTTCTAACCATCTGAGCTAACTGGCCTTTTATTGTTTTGTGTTTTACGAAATTTGTTACAGAATTAGTCAGGGACAAAACAAAAAAACATTGCATTCATTTTGGATGTTTAGTCAAGTGTGATCACTATCCGGGTTAGCATGTGTGGAGGGTTTATATCGTAAACTGCTTGGCTCAAATGGGAGTTAGTTACCCACAGTGTGCATACTATTTGTTTCTGGAGAGCAAAATACTTTGTATTATTGCAAAGCATTACAGACTTACCCCAACATGTAATGTTTGCATTTTGCGAAACAAAGTGGTGTCCACAGCACTATTCCAGCCACTCTCCTCACCATGATACTAAGGAAACATGAACTTTCAACCACGAAGGGACTCGAACCCTCAATCTTCTGATCCGAAGTCAGACGCCTTATCCATTAGGCCACGTGGTCATATAAAAGCTGTTGCTTTACAAACGAGCAATAGTATTTTCCCCCAAATATTCCATGAAAACTGTGTTTAGTTGATTTATGTTACTAAATGTTTGTTTCTTAGCCATTCAGACATCTAAACTCATTGATATAGTGTTAAATGTAAAGGTGAAATGTGCTCAAGAGCAGCCTGGAAAGGGTTTTCTTATGAGTAAATATGGCTGTGGTGGAAATTTATTTTCCAGTCAGAAAGCTGTGTAGATTTGCAGAATTGTTTGGCACAGAAACTCTCAGCTATAAAGTTGGAAACATTGAAATCGACACAGTATGTTTGGTAAGTTTGTCTAAAAAAATGCCTGCATTGTTATCAGAGCTCAAAAACATGTAGTAGGGTGTGTGCCTGTGTCTGTGTGTTTGCACAACAGTGGTCAAGCCAGGTTATGTCCTGCCCCAGAGTGGGTGTGTAGAGAGGGCTGGTGAGTAGTGTGGTACAAAATGACAGCACACACTCTCTCACTCACTCACACACTCAAACACTATTGATCTTAGTCATGGAAAAAGCCATGTAATAAATGGAAAAGAACAGATTATGCAACACAGGAGTCCTGGGCTGTGGAACTGTAACAAGGTTTTGCTCCTGACTTGGAAAATGATTTTGATGTCCCTGAAAGCCCAGTCAGTAAAAAGAGCACTGGCTTTGAGCCAAATCTTGAATCTGTGGCAAAGGAGAAATGGAAAGAGTATGAAATGATGAAATAGAGGAGAGGAGAAAGGGTGGGCTGACGTAATGCAACACGCCAGGCAGTCAGTGGATTTTCCAATCAGGTTGATTAGAGGCATGTCAGCCATGTTGCTGGAAGTCAAGGCCTCCATTACCAGCAGCCTGACTGACATCAGCGTAGTAACTCTCCCAGACAGTCATTGGACAAGCAGAGGACGAGCCAGGCTGTCGGTCAAATAGAGCGCGAGTACAGAGTGGGCTGCAAGTGGCAGTGTGAGTGTGGTTGAGTTCTGACTTCATGATAATCAGAGCAACACAATTAATCGGATCATAAATTTGGCTTCTGCTATTAATTAAACTTAATCGGGTGGGATATTGATTCTGTGCATTAAGAGTCTGCTGCAGTAAATCAAGCGCTCCCTTTTGTCAGGTAAGCCGCACGGGCATTTGTTTTAAGCATGCTGTGATTATATGCTCTCTGCTTCTCACAGCTGCACGTGCACAACCTGCAAGATGAAAATAGTTAATAATATCCTTTATTTGGTTGATAACTGCTGTGGCGTTATTTATATTACTTATATTTAACTTCATAAAAACATTAATTTCATGAAAACTTTTCATTTTCATTCAAAAATGTACATAATTAAAGCAAGTTTTACTTTATTAAGTACGATGTGAAGGTAAGGACAGTTCTCTCTCAGGTGCAGTAAATGTAATGTGTTCTAAAGATGAAAAAATAATTTAAATAATAAATAATCTTTTATTTAGAATTAGAGGAATGTAACTCCTTGTAATACTTGATTCTGATCAGAAATCAGCAGCAGCTCACGTAATTGAAATTCACGTACAGGATGAGATGTCCTCTGTGTTACTGAACCTGTTGAGGTCATGTCTTACTTCGTGATGATGACCAATTATATTGCATGAAATCTAAAATGAAACTAATTTTTGCGTGGATCAATAAAGTGTGATCTAATATTTCAATATCAAATGGACTTTTTCCTCCGTTAGTGAGGTATAAGATTCTCTGCAAATGCCTTGCTGTGTCACCGACACTCTACATGTGGTTCTCAGATTTCAGTCATTTCCATTGATACATTATTGTACCTAAGGGAGCGGCAGCTAAATATCCAAAATGTGTGCAAACGTAACTCAAGCGCTGATACATTTCTACTGCGGCAGTGACTCAAAAGCCTCATGTTGTATCTCGGACCAGTGCCAGTGGGAAGGATGGAAGCGTGTATTAACTGTTGGGTCCATACTGCTCTGACTACTAATCAGCCTGTGAATATAAATCAGATGAAGTGGGTTCTTAAAAGCAGGACTACATTAAACACCGGTGTAGTTTTATCGGTATATTAAAGAGACACAATCTGAAAAGAAATTGAGATATAGGAAATCTTAATGTTCAGCTATTTCTGGCTGCTCTCAGCATGTGACCTTGGACATTTAAAGGAGCAGTGTGTAAGATGTAGGGAGATTTAGTGACATCTAGCAGCAAGGATTGCAGAGTGCAACCAGATGAAAGTGTTCCCGGTTAGAATTCCTTCTGTGTTGTTGAGGAAGTTTACACGGGAGCTGAATTATCCACAAAGGTCTCATACTTATATACCATTTCTGCCAATATATTCCCCTAAATCCTACACACTGGACCTTTAATTTGAAATAGCTGTCAAATCAGGATGTTTCAGCTCTGACATTTACGCAACATGTTGCTCCACCTTCACGCCTTGGGAATGTAGAAGGCAGTCAGTGTGTGGTATACACAAGATTAGGGGCTTCAGAGGTATTTTGATTATGGCTGTGTGTGTGTGTGTGTGTGTGTGTGTGTGTGTGATGGGGAGATTACAAGGGGAAGCTCAGACTTTTAGTAATCCTGCTCCAGACTGCAGTTGGAGCAGGGATGTAAACCCCCATGAAACTCAGTATTTCTTTATTTTTAGATTCTTTGACTGTAAGTTGTCATGATATAAATTTGTAATGAGAACTGATGCAAGCTAATTAAGGATAGGGTAAAGAAACAAAACCATGATTTTTAAACCATATTGACATGATGTGTTTTAGAAAATTGTTTTTATTGTTGTTATAATGATCATGAGTTAAAGGTCTTTCTATTCCCACCACATCTCTGCGTGAGATACTTGCATGCAAATGTCAGGAAGGTTGCTTTGTGTCCTTGCTTCATGAATTTTATATGAATGTTTGTACACTACATGCTTTTCTTTTCTCCTCTTTCTCAAACTCCTCTTTGCTTTACTGCTGTTTTAAAATGTATATTATATTATTGATTTTGTTTTCTCCCCTTCAGCCTTTTGAGGTCAATGACCTCCTGCAGGGACTCAACTTCTCCAAGGTCCTAAACTCCTTGGTTGCCCTCAACAAAGCTACTGAAGGTAAGATGGTTGTTTTATGTGTATTTTTTAAGGCACATTTTTCACTGTTTTCAGTTTTCTGCTTTAGTTCTTCTTACTTTTTTTATTTCTTATTTATGATATTCTAATATATGCTCTGCTCTTTAGGTTTATTGTTCGTGTTAGTATCTTTACCTTACCAGGGTACTGAATTTTACATCTTTTGATTGTTTAACTCGACTGTTAACTGAAGCACTGTGTGCAGATTTAGGAGTTTCTGAGGACAGTGTGTGTGTGCCGCACTCCTCCCACTTGAGGATCAAGTCATTTGACTCTCTGAACACTCAGAGTCGCTCCTCCAAAGTGCTGCAGCCTCAGTACCGCAGCCTGGTGAGTTACCATGACAACGACAGCAACACATCTCATGAGTATTTTGACAGTAGACAAACACTGAGTGGGGTCAGATGTACAAAACTGATACCAGTCTGTTATGAAAACTTAGAAATTCATGTTTTTATGCACAGATTCAGTCAGCTCGTTGTAATTCTCCTCTTCCTCAGGACATGTCAGAGGGCAGTGGGTGCGGCCACGTGCTGGTCAAGGCGCGCTTTGCTTTCCAGCAGACCAATGAGGATGAACTCTCCTTCTCCAAGGGCGACATCATCAGCGTGAGCCGACAGGAGGACGGGGGCTGGTGGGAAGGCTCGTTCAATGGCAACTCTGGATGGTTCCCCAGCAACTATGTACGGGAGCTGAAGGGAAGCGGTGGGTGCAGCTAAAATAAACATTTGAGTCACACACTACTGTATATCAAACATTATAGTACAGCCAATCCTTCCAGTATGAATTTGAAGTGTGTGAAATTGTCTCAAAGTGGTGACACACACATGTTAAGGACATATACTGGGCTAATTATCCTTGAAACATACT